TACTTTCTTACCATTCATCACATATTTCTCCATAAATTAACAAAATAAAAACTTGCCTGGGAAACCTTGGAATTTGTTATAGAGGAGCATGGTATAAAATTTAAGTGTAATGTTCTAAAATTAATAACTGTAGTTTGAAGGAGAGTTACTTTTTTTTAAGTGAGTAAACTAAACTAATACCACCCACCTGTGGTGTTAATTAGGGTGATCAGATTGGCGAAGTTTATAGCCCACAGATCAGAACAGTCTTGAAAATGTTGAGTCCCTACCTGGTATTTGTTTACCCAGTGAGCTCCCTTTAAGAGACTTTCAGTCTCAGTCAGTCTCTCTCCCCGCCCCATTTTCCTACCCCTCAGTCTCATGCCAACAGAAATCAGTGATTCATGAAATTTAGATGATGCTGTTAGCCTTCCTGTTGCTACAACTGTTCTCTGGTCTTGTGGTGATAACCTCTCTAGGTTCAGAATTGCCTCCAGAGTCAGGATATTTTTCCGCCCTGAAAGTATCGCGTAAGGCAGGGACGGGGTGTATTTTCAGTCACTGTCGTACCCTGGTTGTCTAGCACATAGTGGTGAAGATTTGCTGAGTCACCTGCGGATGTAACGCATTTGTCAGCTAGGCACTCTACGTAGATGGCTTTATACCTTACCACATACAGCTTTGTCTTAATAAAGGCGTAGGCAAAAGACGTCCAGCAGTGGAAGTTAATCATGAAGCATTGTTTAAAGTTCATTCTCTACCACATAACTTTCCTTTCCTCTGTCCTCTTAGGGAGAATTCATCAGTGGTGAGTTTCAGTTAAAAGCCTTTTATGAGGAGGCTTTTTACAAGTAGTAATCAGTCTAGGGAAACTGTTCCATCTTCAGAAGGAACAAAGGTGTTACACAGGTGATGAGCAGTTTAAAGCCGGTGATGCAGTGTTTCGTTCTTCTCTAAAGGACAGCTGTTTGTTTAAAAGTGCAAACTGGTTAAAGATGTTTGGTTATCCTCACAAGTGGCTGCAGAATCCCTCTGTGGAGTCCCCCACCCCCTCCTCTTCTCACTCTGTGTCAGGCTGTTGTAAGTAGCTTGACTTAGTCCACAAATATTTACTAAATATCTACTATGTGCCAATAGTGAGGAAAACAGACTGAAATCCTGTGTTCATGGAGCTTACATTCTAATTGGGGAGTATAAATGTTAAAATATTAATGTATTGTATACTAGATGATGCTAAATAACTTGGAAAAACTGAAACAAGCTGGTAAAGGGAGGTGGTTTGGGTGAGTTCCATTCCTCCTCCTCCTTGTCAGGAACCACTAGTCCTCAGGTATAAAAAAGTTATTCCTCAGAGGTTGCTCCTGGCAGGACACACACTTTCATAATGTAGTGAATGGCCTACAGTCCAACGTACATTTGTAAAGATTCAAATCAAAACTTTGCATTTGTTATTTTATAAAGGGAAATTATCAATATATTCCAATCAAATTTGTAAAAATAGTAACATTTTCAGGATTCAATTAATTTATAATCCCATGAAACCTGAAGGAGGTTGAGATAGATGATTGTCTCCTAACCCCACTTCAGATTTGCAGCCTTTTAAGAAAATGACATAAGAGCCAATCAGATGACGATTATAGTTATCAGTTTTATTTCCCCTAAAGCTCTACTGGAAAATGTGGCTTCAGTTCCCAAAATCATGCCTTTTAATATTTTTCCTCCAGTGACTAATCCTTAGGACAGATTTGGAGTCTGCAGAACAAACTCCCTTAACCCTATCCAACTCCAGTGGCAGGGAGACTGAGGGTCAGACCCACCCTGACCGGGTTGGCAGCCCGGGCGGACCTGTGTGTGCTCCCACAGGGCAGCCACGGGGAGCAGGGGAGCAGGACACGCACGCTGGCAGGCAGGCCTGGGAAAGACCAGGTGGGATCTCTTTTCATCCCACATTCGCCCTCCCTGGAGTGAGGAAGCGTGCACGATTAAAAGGCACACTTGAGCAAAGGCACTGGTGATAAAATGCGCTCCCTTTCCTTCTCTCTCTCTCTCTCTCTCTCTCTCCCCCTCTCCCTCTCTCTCTCTCCCTCTCCCTCTCACCCTCTCTCTCTCTCACCCTCTCTCTCACCTGCCGGACAGGGAGAGCCCGTGCCCTGCTGCAGGCCGGTGGGAAGTTTGTATCTGCTATCACTTTCTCCTTCTGCGGAGTGGAGAGGAAAACTCATCTCCTCAGTGGAAACTTGAGAATTTCTTTTCTTGTTATAGCAAATGTAAAGTGGAAAAAAATCATTAACATACAATTTACGATTCACAAATAGTGAATGTGCCTTAAATGTCTTCTTTTGATTTGTTAAAATATCCATGCTTAGATAATGTCCCTAATTTTTGCCTTTGGTAATGGTTCATAATAATTTAATTAATATTTTAAATCCATTTTTGTTAATAACTTGGTTTATGGGTTGAAGTAAGCAAATGTTTGTAGAAGGTATTTTGAGGGAGCGGTGTTATGGTTTAATTGCAGTAAACAGACTAAATGAATGTGCCCATCATAAGCCATTTCATAGTAAATTATTACTAATTCATAAATTTATATAAAAAGTACTGAACGTGAAAGAGTTTAACAGAATTCTTTTAAATAGAATTTGATATCGTTTTGTTAATACAGGTAGTACTTAATTCATTCACTATCTTATGTGGTTCTCTTCATTTTTTGAGAAAAATAGAACTAACCAACAACAAAACCTAAAGGAAACATAACACTTTAAGAAACTATTTTCAGGTTTCCTAAAGTATTTCTCTCTTGTTTGACTTCATAATGGTTCTGAATGCTAGCTATATAAATTATCATGTTACAAAGAATCTCGAAAAAATAAAAGCTACAAGTAAAGATCTCAGGCAACGTTACTATTTTCAGAAAGATTTCTGTGGATGTTAAAACTATACAATATTGTTAAACAACATAAAAAATTCGTAGAATCAGAAATATACTACTGAAAAAGTTATTATATAGAATTTTTTGACTGAAGATAAATACCTTATTTAAAACTTAATAGTGTATCAAGCAGTACTGTGAATGAATATGAATGGTTTATACAACCGACAGCTGTTGGATTTGTGGGTAGGTGTGAACCTGTTCTAAGAGGTAAGTTGTCATATTATGTGACTGCTCGAAATTTCTTTCTGACTTTTATGACAAATATTTTAGTCAGTGAAAGGAATAAACTAGAATTGAAATAATTTTACCAGGGCCTAGCTAAAATTTATCTCAACCTAGAAAATACTGCATTCTTTTGAGCAGTCCCCTCGAACGTAAGCACATAATGCACATGCGCTGTTCATTTATTGATTAGCAAGTACCTAAGGAAACCGTTACTGGTGCCTACTGCTGGTTTATAATGTACGTGGTTCGAACCATTAAAGTAATAAACAACTAAAGAATAAATTCTACAAGGGAAAGTAAAGTATAAATTCTGTAAAGTGAGAAATTCAGCTAAGGAAATACTTTCAGTACCATTTTATAAAGCACTTTAACAAGCAGTGTATTTTTACCATCTTCACCAACTTGAAGTTCATAATGATTTTTTCCCATGAGTGTTATAAATATGTAAATTATGTTCAAATAATGGAAATCTTTCTTTTTTATTCTCAAAAACAGATTGTACCAATAACATTGGCCAAGTATATAAATTTTCATTAATATGCTAAACATCGTGTTTTCCTTACAGTCTCCCATCTGGTGAAGGGTTCTTAGTGCCTGAGTCGTGTTTCAAATCTCTGGGTTCCTTTAGGGTCAACCCAGGCCAGAGATTATGTATGTACTTATTTGTTTCAACACCCCATCTGTCCATCACAGTCTAATTGTTGAAAGGTTGATGGACAGAGGCTATTTCTATTATCTCTGGTCTTCTCAACACAGATTCAAATTTTCAGCACCTCAACTGTGCATTGTGTTTTTCTCGGCTCAGTTTGGCTGAGTTCCTTCTCACTGCTGTTACAAATGATTCTCAGCGTTGACATCAAGTGCTTATCCTTCCAGCCTTCCCTTCTAGTGGGATGGGCTCCACTCACAGTCCCAAGCTTAGGGAAGCAATCTTAGGCTTCCTTTTGGACCGATTTGAGGTGGGTGATTAGACCAGTGTAGGCTAACCAGCAATTTCTGTGATTAAGACATGCAAAGGGCCACCAGTTATGTGCGATGGTGCTTGTCCAAGCTTCAGACTAACTCACCACAGCGTTTGGGCAGGACTGTGTGGGGAGAGTTGACCACAGGAAGGTGAGAGAAAAACACTTAGCAGAAACACCACGAGAGAAGGACGGTGTGGGCCGCGAGTGAGAAGGAGAGAATGGGCAATGTCTAGCACTGCCCAATTCCCGACAGATTTCTGATTCCACTCCACATATATTCCTAAATAAATACCTCTCCCCATCTTTTAATGGTGATGTAAGGAAATTCCTATGTGTTAAAACCCAAGCATAACTCACAAGTTTAATTTCCTCTGTGAAAAAATACTGAGCTGAAATTGAAAGAATTATCCTAACCTAGGGCACCTTTGAATCCTCTAGCCCTAAAGATATATATAATAACAAAATTATTATTAGCTCTAATTTTCTTTCTCATTTTTAATTTTTGTTTGTTTCGTTTTGTTTTGTTTTGAGACAGAGTCTCACTTTGTTGCCCAGGCTAGAGTGAGTGCCATGGCGTCAGCCTGGCTCACAGCAACCTCAATCTCCGGGGCTCAGCGATCCTACTGCCTCAGCCTCCTGAGTAGCTGGGACTATAGGCATGCGCCACCATGCCCGGCTAATTTTTTGTATATATATTTTTAGTTGGTCAATTAATTTATTTCTATTTTTGGTAGAGACGGGGTCTCGCTCAGGCTGGTTTCGAACTCCTGACCTTGAGCAATCCGCCTGCCTCGGCCTCCCAAAGTGCTAGGATTACAGGCGTGAGCCACCACGCCCGGCCTCATTTTTAATTTTTAATTTTCTTATTCCTAATCAGAAATCTGTTGACCCTTTTTTAGATGTTGAGGACATGTTCACTTCCAGATCTCTCGAAGCTGTTCAGAACCCTGATGGACGTTCCCACTGTAGGAGATGTCCGTCGAGACAATCTTGAAATAGATGAAATCGAAGATGAACACATTAAAGAAGGACCTTCTGATTCTGAAGACATGTAAGCAATTATTAATATAATTAATAAATACTAGCATTAACAGAATTTCTGAATTTATATTAAAAAAGTTCTAGAGAGAATGACTAAACCTAAACAGCTTTAAAAACTGCTCTATAGCTAACTTCTCATGCCATTACTTTTTACAACTTATTTAAAGTACAGTCATGCAAATTTTGATAACATATATCTGCCTCTAAAGACTCCAGGAACTTAATCGCACTTGAGGTGGATAAGAAAATAGTTTCTCTGTGTTCACTGTGTTACTCACTCCTGAGCATCCAGCACACTGGCTTGCACGTGGTGGGTGTTTAATAAATATTGGTTAAATGAACGAATGTGAGCAGGATAATGACAATTTAACAGTGGACAATGGGAAGTTGTGAAGTAATCAATACAGTCATCCACAGCATAACCATACTTTGGTCAACAATGGACAGCATTTATGATGGTGGCCCCACAAAATTATAATGGAGCTGAAAAGTTCTGATCACCTACTGGTGTCACTGATGTCACAGGTGTCACAGCATCACAGCGCAGTGCGTTACTCACGTGTGTGTGGGCTGCTGCTGGTGTAAACAAACCTACGGTGCTGCCAGTCGTGTAAAAGTCTAGCACGCACAATTGTGGACAGTACATAATACTTGATAATAAACAGCTGTTAATATGGTACTGGTATAGGTATAAAGCAACCTCAGGCAGGTCCTTCCGGAGGTATCCAGAAGGCGGCGTTGTCGCGGGAGACAGCAGCTCCACACTTGGTATTGCCCCTGAGACCTTCCAGTGGGACAGGATGTGGAGGGGGAAGACAGTGATGTTGATGATCCTGGCCCTGCGTAGGCCTAGGCTAATGTGTGTGTTTGTGTCTTTGTTTTCAACAAAAAAAGTTTAAAAAGTAAAAAATAAACCTAAAAACATTTTAAATAGAAAAATGCTAATAGAATTATATAACTGTACAATGCGTTTTTGTTTTAAGCCAGATGTTAATAATGATAAAGAGGTGTACTTTTTTTTTAATCTTTTTGCTGTATTTTGATTGTACCTTTTCTATAGTTAGATATAATTAGATACACAAATACTATTATGTTTTACAGTTGCCTACAGTATTCAGTATACTAATATGCTATGCAGGCTTGTAGACTAGGAGCAATAAGTTATCCCATAGAGCCTACATACGTACTAGGCTGGACTACACCATCTAGGTTTGTGTAAGTGCACTCTATGATGTTCACACAATGATGAGATTGCCTGACAATGCATTTTTCAGAATGTATTCCTGTTATTAAGCAATATAAGATTGTACTTAACAATTCCCTAGGAAAACGACCTGAAAGGTCCACAAACCATGTAGGATTTCAAAGCCATGGCAGTGGGGAGTTAGCAAGTGGACTTGTTTGTATGAGTGAGTGCGTGTGTGGGGACAAATGGTGCAGACTTTTGGGGGACATATAACCAGAGTATCCTGGAATGAAATGTACGAGAAGATACAGTGCATTCAAATCACCAGCAGAATAAGTTATAAAACATTAGAATTTATATGATTTACTTTGTAAAATTTTTTTGAACTTAAGTTTCTGCTTTTTACCTCCGCCTTTGAATAGCAAGTTCTACTTTGACTGGTTGAAAGTTTTGTATCAGTGTCAAAATTCTGTCAGTGAGCCGGCATCACTGCAGCTGGCACGTTTTATTTTCTAGTTTTTGCTTTTTTTAAGCTTTGCACCTTGCTTCATAAATTTCTAATGACACTATATTTTTAAAACATTGCCCTTTTTTTTTCCATTTTTCATAGTGTTCTGTAGATTTTTACTAGTGACTTCACAATTTGGAAGAAAAGTTACCTTTTTATCTTTGTTTCTTCTACTTGACTATGGATATTAAGCACTTTAATTTTGCATTCTTATTAAGTCTGTTGGAGACCACAACAATATTCAGCATGTTTATTGTTGACAAAGTGCTAGGTAACATGTTTTTTTTAATAAAATCATTGATTTTTATCTTGCTGAACTATAGCTTATTTGTGGCTTGAGTCCTTTTAATTACTAGTTGATGACAGAATTTTATTTTAAAACTTAAGTTAGAAGCTTTTAGTATTAATTGAAAATTTTAAAACCTAAGTTATTTTTTAAAGTAATTTATTTCATATTTATATAGGAAAATTTCACTTGATGTTTTTCTTTGAAAATTTCTTTTGATCCAAACTTTTCTCATGGTTTTTGTTTTTAAGAGACAGGGTCTCTCTCTGTCGCCCAGCCTGAAGTGCAGTGGCATTATCATAGCTCCCTGCAGCCCCAAACTCCTGGGTTTAAGTGATCCTACTGCCTTAGCCTCCCAAGTAGCTGGGACAACAGGCATGCACCACTATGCCCAGCTAATTTTTTTTTCTTTTTGTAGAGACAGGGTCTCACTTTGTTTCCCAGGCTGTTCTTGAACTCCTGGCCTCAAGTGATGCTCCCACCTCTGCTTCCCAAAGTGCTGGGATTATAGGTGTGAACCACCACACCCAGCCCCAAACTTCACTCAAGATTTTATAATAAGAAAGCCAATTTAAAAGTGACTTAAGGACCTGACTTTTAAGTATCTTAAAGGTTTTTGAGTGCTCGTTTCATAAAAGATCTTAATTTTCTCATACTCTTCTTACAGTAGCAGACTTAGCAGCCTCACTTAATTACATACCATCTGCAGAGGGTACAGATTCCTTCTACGGAGAGCACAAATTCCTCTAGGCTAGTCACTAGAAGATTTTATCAGCAGGTCAATGTTTAGTCATTATAGCAATAGTTCATAGCAGGTATGCCTGCTAAGTTAGTCTTGTAAGTAGATAGTAAGTTAAATGCTACTAGTGGGATGATCCAAGAGATTAGATAGTTTTTTCTCATTCTAATTAGATGTTTTACTTTTTTATAGCTTCTATAAAGTCAAATTGTAGGAGTTTTACACACAAGTACAAAATAAAGTTATTGCTATGTAAAAAGATAATTTACTTTTCCTATTAATGGAAATTTTATTTAAGGTCTTGTGTAATACCATTTATATTTTAGTTCTTTAGTAAATGTTTGTTTGATTTGGGTCTAAACTTTTAGAAAGGCCTTAATCAGCCCTGGTGTCCTGTTTGGCTTTGCTTTTCTGGTAGATAAAATCCTCAATTTGGTTACATAATCTTTTTCAGAAATCTTCAGATACCTAAAACCTCAGTTAACTTTCTTAGTCTACAAACTTTTCCATTTGTATAACACTTTGGGAGAAGGAAGCAAATCATAAGAGGGAAAAGTCCATGAGTGTGTTTCTTGGGTGTTAGAGGAGTGATCAGGGACCTACATTTCAGTCCTCTGTCTGCCATTTATTGACCGTGTGGGCTTGAGCAAGTCATTTAAACAGTTTGGTTCCTAGTTTCCATGTCTCTAAAGTGAGGTTTGTTTGGATAAAATTCAAATAATAAGATAAAACTGCTTAGTAATCTAAAGTACTATATAAATGTAAGGTATTATTTGTGTAAATCAGTTCATTCCAGCATCTATAATCCCTTGAAAATAGAATTAATATCTTGGCCAATACCTTGTAAACAAGCTACTCCTGTGAAGTGTATGGTGGTCAGCATATTCTAATTACACAGGAAAGTCTACTTATGTATTTTAGAACATTTTCAAGAACCTGCATCTACATGAGTAAACCCAGTGAAGCTCAGCTATACCTGGCCCAGACCACAAGAACCACTCAGGCTAACTTCGGCCAAACTGCCAACCTCCACGTTTGTTAGGCTCAATAAATGGCTGTTGCTTTAGGGAGAAAAAAAAAATAAGCATCTAAAGATAAGGTTTCTGGTGACCATTTTATTCACTGGATCATCCTGTTAGCCTGAACATATAATTCCCTAAGTATTTCTATCTCTAAAATATAGAAAGCCTTCCATATAGTGTACAACCATTATAAAACCCACATGAGGACTTTGAAAATTTCAAAACTATGTAAAAGAAAAATATTTGAGTATATTTGTTTTGGAAAGCAAGTAAAAAAACCTCTACAGTCTGACCTCTTAAAATATCAAAACATTATTTCAAAATTTAATCAATGAATACTATTGATAGTTCTGTGATTCTCTGGCAAATCAGGACCATTTTAAACAAGTCGTCTGGCTTCTGTGTTCCAGAATGTGTGCACTGTGTGCTGTATTTATCGATGTACTAATCCTCAGTTTCTTGGTGAAAGGAATACAGGTTTTTTTCGGATTTATTTTTATCTATTATTAGTACTTTTAAGTAGAAGGGAGTGTCTGCATATTGAGTTGAAGGTAAAATTTAAGAGTGAGGTAAAGTTATAGTGATATTTAGTTTAACTTTTTAAATTTCAGTGTGTTTGAAGAAAATGACACAGATTTACAAGAGCTTCAGGCCTCCATGGAGCAGTTACTTAGGGAGCAGCCTGGTGAGTACAGTGAGGAAGAGGAGTCGACCTTCAAGAACAGCGATGTGGACCAGACTGGCGATGGCACGGATGTGGCGGAGGAGGACGACAACCCCAGCAGCGAAAGTGCGCTGAACGAAGAATGGCACTCAGGTGCGTGACCGTGCCCTGGGCCTGCCATGTGTACAGACATTTCACGTGGAGTGTATTCTTTCCATATCTGGTATAAACCATTTCCAACTCCAACACACTGACTTCCACATAAAAAAATTATTTTCCTTGGGGCCACAATTTTTTTTTTACAAAAATAGAATAAAAACTTCAAAACGATCCTTTCTAACTTAATGAAAAATTTGTTATTTTTTATTGTTTCCTGTATATGAGTTATATGCAGTTAAATTGTCAACATTAATTGCAACAATAAGAACATATCAACAAGTAAAATTTTCACAAACCAACTGCAGGGTTTTGCCCAGGGGGCCACCCATCACGTAACGTGTGCTACAGCACGGCAGCGTGACTTGCCTGCACAGCAGGAAGCTCCCAAGGTAAACAGACGTGTGAGTTACATGTGCTTCATGAGGCCTCAGGCTCAAAACTGGCATGAGTTCAATACAGCTCACATGGCAGTTAATGTGTTAAATAAAACTGAAGTGTGCTGCTTTGTCTCTGCCATTTTTCATTCTTTTCTTTTTCACACAAATGTATAGTTTTCCATTTCTTTTCCATTAAATTTTTCATTCTTTCCCCATTAGATTATAGCAATGACTTTTTGAAGCATTTTTCTTCTGTTGTTTGTTCTCCATTTCTTATTTTTCCAGTAATAAAGATAATAACTTAGTTTTCTTACCACTTTATGTTTTACAAAGAGCTTCCATACATGTAGTGATTAATCAGTAGGGTTAATACAGAAAGCAGTTTTTAAAATCTTATCATTTTTTCTTTAGTTTGGAAACTACTCTTTGTTCATAGCATTACCCATAAGATGCATAGAAAATCTATATATTTCAATAACTATATAACATTTATTTGGAAAGAAGAGCTAAAAGTGAAAAGAAAAGATTCTGTAATAATTTTTTTCCAAGTATCTGGAGCGTGTACACGACAAAATATATTGCCCATTTATAATACTTTCTAGGTGTTTTCCAAAAATTTTATGATGGGTGTCTTAGGTTGTCTCCCTTCTGCATGCTTTTTCATATTATAGCCCATGTTTATCATCAACTTTTGAAAAATAGTAGTCAGTTGTTCACGTTAAACCGGAACACAGATTATGCTTTTTCCATTTTTTACTAAATGAATGACATCACTAGAAATTTTGTTTGTTTGTTTTTTGAGATGGCTTCTCCATCTGTCACCCAGGCTGGAGAACAATGGCATGATCATAGCTCACTGCATCCTCCAACTCCCAGGCTTAAGAGATCCTCCCACGTCAGCCTCCCAAGTAGCTAGGACCACAGGTGTGCACCACCATGCCTGGCTAATTCTTACAGTTTTGTAGAGATGGGGCCTTGCTATGATGCTCAGGCTGGCCTTGAACTCCTAGCCTCAAGCAGTCCTCCTGCCTTAGCCTCCCAGAGTGCTAGGATTACAGATGTGAGCCACCACGCTCAGTCAGAATATTTTTATTCTAACCAGATTTACTATTTATGTCTATAAAATAAAAGATTCCCAAAGTAACATTCTTGTTGAGACAGATTTATACGTGTTTTGTTTACCTATATAAGTGACAAATATTATAGTGACAAAAATATGTTAAAAGTAGAAGTAGTCTACTTCAATGGCCTTATTGACTTGTCATGGAATTTTAGTCTATTAAGGTAAGAATTATTCTGTCTTTTTTAATCACAACATATCTCCTTTTTATTTTATGTTTTTAGATAATAGCGATGGTGAAATTGCAAGTGAATCTGAGTATGACAGTGTCTTTAACCATTTAGAGGAACTGAGACTTCACCTCGAGCAAGAAATGGGCTTTGAAAAGTTCTTTGAGGTTTATGAGAAAATAAAGGTCAGTAAAATGTCAATTAAAACATTGGCTTTTAAAATATGCTCTGTTTGAGTACTAGAAAAATGTTGATCTTTATTGGTCATTAGATTTCTTTTAAGTAAAAAGTGAAGTCTTCAATTAGAGAAAGTTATTCAAATATTAATTTATATTTGGGGATTTCGTGTAGGCTGTTCATGAAGATGAAGATGAAAATATTGAAATTTGTTCAAAAATAGCTCAAAATATTTTGGGAAATGAACATCAGCATCTTTATGCCAAGATTCTTCATTTAGTCATGGCAGATGGAGCCTATCAGGAAGGTAAGATTTCCTCACGTCTTTATTGTTTTTTTAAATGTGAGAAAAACAAGATGACAGTTATAATTGGACCATCTTGTATCACACCTATTTTGGTGAAATGTATATTAGAACTATATCTATTTACTTTTATTTACTTTTAAACAATTATAAAATTAACTCTAATATACTTTTATAGATCTTTTACTTTTATTGACTTAAGTCCTTTAAGTCAATATTTTTAAATTTAATTTATAAGTAACATTTGAATGAGATTTTTAAATCTTATTGGGTAGATTTTGGAAAGCTCCAGAAGTTAGAATAATTCTTATTCTGTTGGGCATCTCTAGAAGTTAGAGTAATTTTTATCAAGGATGTAATATTAAACTTTTAGACACATAAAGCAATTTGTAAAATTTTGAACAAAAGTCAGGCATAACGGCATGTACCTGTAATCCCAGCTACCTGGAAGGTTGAGGCGGGAGGATCACTTGAGCCCAGGAGTTTGAGGTTCCAGTGAGCTCTGATCGCACCACTGCACTCCAGCCCAGGCAACAGAGCAAGACTCTGTCTCTTAAAAAAAAAAAAATTTTTTTTTCAACAAGAATTCATTTCTAGATTATTTGCCAAAAAATTAATCTTACTACTTTACTACTTTAAAGGTTTACTTCATAGACTAAAATAGAGGGTTTTAAATGTTGATGCTTAATTTTAACAATATAAATTTTTATAAAACTTATTTATATTCCATACAAAAAATGTTTTGCATAGGCATGTAAGAAAGTTTTAAAATATATGAATATAAGAAAGGCATTTAAAAATATATGTAGTACAAGATAAAATTGAGTTTTAAAAAAAATATTTGGGAAAGTCAATGTATCAGGCAAATGAGTGCAAGTGATATAACATGAAGCCAGGAATATCCCACTGAAGAGTTTTCATTAAAGAAGAAAAAAAAAATACAGGAATGAAGAAAGAATACAAAGTTCATGTGCAAAAAGGTCTCTGCATTTTTTGAAAACAGGACACAAATTTTTTGCTGGTCTTTCTAGGAAAGCAGGAAACCTAACTAATTACATGAGTCACAGTATTCATGAGACAAAAAATGTTTAGTTGCTAAGACAACAATAGGCCAGCTATTTTTGGTATTAAAAACAAAGGAAAAATTTTCCCATTATATTTAAAAAGAGGTTACTATCATACAGTGTTCCTCAACCTTGAATAATATCTAATTTTTTCCCTTTCCCTTTAAAGGGAAAAAACATTTTTTTTTTTCAGGTGCAAGATTTCAAGAGTCCATAGACCCCAGTATAAAACTCAAGTCTTAGAAAATTCTGTCAGTTGTGAATTATTAGTTTTGTATAAAACAGATGTTTTATTTTTCTAAGTATTAAAAGATTATTTTATGATCAAAATGAAAATATAAAATATAAACATTATCCAGAACCTGTGGATTCCTGATTTTATTGAGATCTTAGACTTCATCTTATAAAATAGTGTTAAAATGGAATGAAAAATATCCTCAGTAATTTTTATAATATTTGGATTTCCTGGGGCTGTTTCTCGTAATATATCGTGGTATAAGTGAATGGCACAAGTCCAGGGGCTGATTCCATGTAAGTAAATCTGTGGAGCATATCACACCAGGTCTGTTCATATTCAGACTGTTCATCCTTCAGGCAGCTCTCTCTAAGCACTGTTTCAACACAGCTTTTCATAAGTCACCAGCGGCAATGTGCTTGGGGTTCAGCTTTGCTTAACGCGTGTCTGGAGAGCTTTTGCTTTGCTTTGTCCTTTAAGTGGAGAACTGCAACAATCAGCTGATTCACAAGGTAATGTTGACACCCGTCTTTGAGAGCTGAGTGGCTTCCAGAGGACACATGCCTACGTAGAAGGCCATCCCCTGCAAAGGGCCAGGAGTCAGGCTGAGCTGATACAGCCCTGAAGAAGCAATTTCAGACTTTTTCTAGCACACAGATGAAAAGAAGATGAAGGCCCCAAAGTCTTGTATCGTAGAGCATGGCAGTAATTCCTTTACCCTGGAAAAAAATGTAAAGCAATTAAAAGCAAAAGTCTACCCTGGCAATCTTTTTAAAAATCTTAGTACAGCCCATAAAATATTACAACTTACTAATATGCCTACTGAAGTAACTGTTGATGAAGTGTATATTGAATTATCTGAATAAATTAACTTGCAGTTTTGTATTGTTAGTCATGGGGAGTGAAAGGTTAGACAGTGACTGGATTAAGAGTAATTGTTTTGGAGTCCTTCTTATTGGAAGTAATTAGATCCCGTCCATAGTTATCTTACAGAGCCTTTCAGCCCACTCCTTTTACAAGGAGGTAACAGTAAGACCATGTTGCCGGCATGTGGTGCTCACACACTTGCACTCTCTGTGTTGAGGAATGGGAGGCCAACGAAGGGAGGGAGGAGGCAAAATTTTATCTAGTTCACCCAAAAGTGGTGCGAGGTCCCTAAGGTGCAAGTTAAAAGAAGACTGACTAAAACAAGTTTCTTCTCCATTTCACTGGAAATTAACTGAGTCCTGAGAAGACAGCCTCAACTATTCAACTCCCCTGAGGCTGTGACAGTGCAGGTTAGACAAGTAAACATCAGTAACTGGGGCTGTTGGCAAAGTTAATGTCACTTAGTCCACACTAGGCGGTATCCAGAGTCAAAAGTCAAATGAAGATAGTAAAATGTATAAACTACTTAATATCATTCCTAATAGATATTAGGAATATCCACAAGGAGAGAAGGAGTACAACTGGCAGAGGCCACCATGTGGAGCATTGGCATTAGCAACGCAAGCTCGTAGACTCTCAAGAAGGAAACACATACCTTCACCCCATGTTCATTTTGGATGGAATATTGAGCTGTGCTTATGCAATGAAATTTTATGCATCAGTTAAAATGAATGAACTAAATTCCATCTGTCAATCTGGATAAGCCCCACAAACATGATAGTTAAATAAGTAGTAAATGACACCATGTATGTAATATTTAAAAACAAGTTCATTTAGGTGTACATATATGTAATAAAATAAAAATAAAAGCAGAAAGCTGTGAGAAAGAAGTATACACATCAGTATCATGGTACTGAAAATGCCCAGGGGAAGAAGAGAATGCAGTAAGATTGAGAAAGGGTACTCTCTGTCTGTCATGTGTTTTTCCTTAATAATCCAAACCAGTATGGCCAAAAGTTAACTTTTATTAATTCCACATATTATGTACATGTGCCTTCATTTCTTTTCTGGTGATTTGAAATATTTTGTAATTTTAAAACATAAGTAAATTGTAGTACAGAGTGATAAGTGCAACATTGGAAGCAATAAAATGTGTGTAAGTTGCGTTAAGTAATGATCCAACCACACTGGAAGAAATAATGGTGGCAGGGTAGCTCTTCCTGGGGGAGAGGACGTCACAGTTGGATTTTGACGGACAAATGAGAATTTGCCACACGTCCATACATGTACTCACACATGGGTGGATACAAAATGTAGTAGGGGAACGACAAGCAATTCAGTGTCACTAAAGCATAAATTATGGGGGCTGTTGAGGAAGATGAGGAATGAAATTTGGTAAGACTGGAATTATTTAAAAAGCCAGATCATAAGGGGCTTTACAATCCATATTGAGGAGGAAGGATTCTTTTCTGAGGCAGTAGGGAGCTAGTGAAGAATTTTAAGTAGTACAGTGATTTGACATGACACTTAGATTTTTATTGAAAGATCTCTTTTGCTAGAATGTGGAAGATAATGCTTGTTACATAAGATTAAAAGCAGTCTGTTTAATTCATTCAATAGTGTTTTTTAACATAAAGAAAAATTGGAAATAACCGAAATGCCTATAAATAGGAATGGTTTTAATTTAATTACACCATATCCATAAAATAGAATACTATACAGACATTGAAATTTACATGGAATATGTCCATGATTTATTATTTTTCAACATTTCATTGTAAATTTTTCATCATATGAAAAAGTTGAAAAGACTTTACAGTGATCATCTGTGTACCCACCACCCAGATTCTAACATTACCATTTTATCTTGCTTATCTGCCTTTCCATTCTTTATGTGTGTTAAGTGGAAAAACTCATGTGTCAAAACTGCATTTTGGTGTGATATTAAAAAAAAATCTGTGTATGCAGAGGAAAGCAATCGGGGAGGGTTTATATAAAATTAACATTGGTTGTCTTTTGCTTATAGATAATTTTTGCCTCCTGCTTTATTTTTCATTGTATATTGTGAATATTTTACAATGAGTATATGACACTATAGTAAAAACTGTGTTTAAAACCACATTAAAGCTCTTTTCCTTTAGCGTGAAAAAAGATGAATGTTTTTTATTGCTAAGTAGATACAGCTTGATTTTAAATGAAGTAAGTTAATTTTTTTCTTCTTTCTACAGATAATGATGAATAATCCTCAGAACATTCTTTAACCCTCACCTATGTGGAAGGTTTAAATTTGGCTCATCAGAGTAACAAGGGTCACTGGGAAATACAACAGTTTTATACAACGCAATCAGATTTAAGAGAGTATGCTCACTGCATGAAAAAGATGGAGAAACATACCATTTTGCAACGATGATTCTCGTATTTTATCTATTTTATTTTGTGTGTCAAGTTCCATAGTTAAATCCTGTAGAATATATACTTTATTAAATTATCCAACCAAAGCATAAGAGATGTTGACCCAGAACTGGACTTGATGGTTTTGAAGATTGACTATGCAATAGGTAACTTTGACTTTCAGCAGATGCCTTCAGGTTGAAGGAATTACCTGTGTCGTGAAAGACCTGCCAGTGGTTTTCCATGTAAGTCTTTAAATGTGACCATTTTTTCTGTCTAGTGCTTGTTTTCATCCTGGTCAGCAATTCTGCATTAAATAACCTTGTCAAGGGCTCTATTTTAAGTCTTTATGTTTTGAAGATGGAATTTTTAGCCTTAAAGTTTATATTCTCAAGTCCTTTTCCAACCAGTGTGTCTCCTGAACTAGCTCAGTGGAAACAGGATATAGAAAGTCATAGAAATCATTAAAAGATTTGATTATGAAAGCAAAATTATATTTCCTAATATTTAAAAAGTTGGTTTATTGCCTGTATATCTTATTAAGGACCAGAACCAGTAATATTACATCTAAAAATTAGTCTGTGGATTTTAACATTTACTTAGTTAAATGTTACCTAGTAAGTTGCCCTTTTGGTTTTTAGCTTCCTGTCATGCATGTGCTTCAAGGACAATATGAGGTTAAAAAGGACAAAGGAATCATTTTTATTTTGACACTGTGTCAGTTTTGGTAACTAGGCAAACGTTCCCCAAAGGAGGAATGTTTGCCTTTTGTACTTCTTTCCATTATGAGAAGATTTAGTTAAGTCAGTGAGATGATGGTCTCACAGCTTCAGTTGCAATATGCCACGTGTTACATGGCTTCATTAGCGATGTCTACAGTCCAGATGTTTTTGTAATAAAAGCAAAATTTTTGAAACTCCAGTTACAAAGCATTATGATTTGCATAATATGTAATTTGAAAAATAAAATCTTATCTTGCAGCACTATCAATACTATGTTGAATTTATTATATATATTATTAATATTTCTAACATCCTAAACTAAATACTTGATTTTTATATGTTTATTTTATGATATTGCTATTAAATTTTTATTACCACCTGAAGTATACCATTGATTGTCTTTTGTTTATTAGCACTTTTCTCAATAGAATGCTTTTACAAAGAACATCATTCTTAATTTAAGAACATTTGAATTCTGCACTGGAAAGGTCGCAAGCCAGGCACGGTGGCTCACGCCTGTGATCCTAGTACTCTGGGAGGCCGAGGCGGGAGGATTGCTTGAACTAGGAGTTTGAGATCAGCCTGAGCAAGAGCGAGACCCCATCTCTACTAAAAATAGAAAAATTAGCCAGGTGTCATGGCGTGCATTTTGTATTCCCAGCTACTCGGGAGGCTGAGGCAGGAGGATCGCTTGAGCCCAAGAGTTTGAGGTTGCTGTGAGCTAGGCTGACGCCACGGCACTCATTCTAACCCCGGCAACAGAGTGAGACTCTGTCTTAAAAAAAAAAAAAAAAAAGAATGCATGAACCAAAGGTTTTCAGACAGTGGACAACAGACAGCAGAGCACAGTGCCCTGAAAGGAGGGAAATGAGTGAGGTGAACCCTGATTCCCCAATTCACTGTGTAGAAATAGCACGGGGTGGGTGGGGGTGAGAGGACAGACCCAGACAAACCCAGGAGTTTCCCTAAATTAAGGAAACAAGTCAGAATGCAGAGAGGAGAGCGCAGCCTGGATTTGCACAGTGAAGTACCAGAAAGGAGAGAGCTGCTTAGGAAGAGACAGAGCTCCAGAGACCTGCAGAGGGTTCCTTGCGTGTCTTCTGCTGAATACGGATCGGTGCGGCATGTAGGGAAACTGCCCAAGACTGGGGAAAGGCAAGAGAAAGCACTGGAACAATTCTTGGGTATTACACAGGGTCAAGAACAGTTTGTATTTCCACCAGCCGGAGGAGACAGACCTAACACCTGGGGCATAGGGGACAGAGAGACATTGCGTGCGTCATTACGGGAGCCAAATAATTTCTAGATAAAGGCTGTTCTGCCTCCGTGAGTGAAAGGATCATATTGTTTCCTAGGAACTTAACAAGGCTCAAAAGTATTTGAAGATATCCCCAGAATGTGAGCACTCAACAAAATTCACAATATCAGGCACCCGGTGAAAAATTACCAGGCATGCTGAAAAGCAAGAAAATATGACTGGTTAAGGAGAAAATCTGTAGAGATCATACAGACAATGTAATTAGTAGTCAAGGATATAAAATCAGCTGTTGCATCTGGGGGTTCCACATCCGTAGAACTACAGATCAAAAATATTTGAAAAAAATAACAATAATACAAATTTTAAAAATATAACAAATTTACATAGCATCTACATTGCATTAGGTATTATAAGTAGTCTGGCGATGATTCAAAGTATACAGGAGGGTGTGCATAGGTTATATGCAATTGATGGCATTTTATACGGGACTTAGCATCCATGGATTTTGGTATCCACAGGGATCCCGGAACCAGGCCCCCATGGACACTGAGTGAGGAATGACTATGTGTTTTCCAAGGCAGAGGAAAGCATGAGCATGAAGAAGAAAGGCACGTCAGATTTTATAACATACAACCGTATACACCACATAGAAATTCTACAGATGAGAAATGCATATGTAACAAGCAGCAGACTAGCTACTCAGGAAAACAGTGAACTAGATCCGACTGACATTTATAAAACACTTCATGTAAATCAATAAAGAATGTTTTCAAGGTGTACATTTACTAAGACCACAGTTTGAGCCTAAAAATGTATCAAGAAATTTTAAATGATACAAATCATACAAAGTATGTTTTCTGACCACAATGGAATTAAATCCATTTTTAGAAAAGGTTTCTAAAAACTCCCCAAATATTTGGAGACTAAACACATTTCTAAATAACTCATGGATCAAATGAGAAATCACAGCCAGAATTAGAAGATATTTTGAACTGAATGAAAATTAAAATGTGATATATCTAAATTTGTGGAGTATGTCTAAAATAGAACCTAGGAGTGAAATTTATAACATTTAACATTTACATTGTAAAAGAAGCAATTCAATAACTTAAAATTCTACCTTAAAAGATCAGAAGAGAAAAAGATTAAATCCAAAATAGAAAAGAGGAAATTTTTTTTAAAAAGGCACAGAAATCAATTAAATGTAAACAGAAAACAGAGAAGCCAAAAGCTTGTTCTTTAAGAACATCAGTAAAATTGATCTCTAGCTAACCTAAAAAAAATAAATTAGAAATATCGGAAATGAGAAGGGGTAAGTCACAACAGAACTAAAAGACATTAAATGGATAAGAGAATATTATGAACTATTTATGCCAATATATTTGACAATTTAGTAAAAATTATCAAATTTCTTAAAAGAAAACCTACCTACATTATTCAGTTTGGGCTGCCATAACAAAATACCATAGACTGGGTAGCTGCAGAATCCATTTTCTCACAGTTCTAGAGGCTAGAACTCCCAGGTCAAGGTTGCAGCTGGGTTGGTGCATGGCGAGGTCTCTCTGCCTGGCTTGTAGATAGCCACCCTCTCACTGTTTGCTCACCTGGCCTTTCCTCGGTGATGCTTTGGAAAAAGGAAGGATATTTTCTGATGTCTTTTCTTATAAGGACACAAACACATTAATTCTAGAAGATCAAGGTTTCACCATTATGATCTCATTTAACTTCCTTAGGGGTCCTGTCTCCAAATACAGCCACTCCGGGAGTTAGAGCTTCAACATGAATTTTGGAGGGTCACAAACATTCAGTCCATAACACTACCAAAGCTCACCCAAGAAGACACAGAAAATCAGAAGAGCTCTATATCTAATTATAAAATTGAATTTTAGTTTAAAGACTTACCACAAAGAAAACTTTGGGCCCAGATGGCTTCAATGAAGAATTCTACCAAATATTCCGTGAAGAAATAGTATCAATTCTACACAAGCTGTTCCAAAATAGAGGACTGCAGGGAACATTTTCCCACTTGTTCTAAGAGCACAACATTGCCTGTTCCCAAAACCAAAAATAAGGAATTTAAAGAAAACTACAGACTCATACACCTCATGAACATTGATAAAAAAAAATAAAAAAAAAACTATGCAAAATTTTAGCAAGTCAAAGCCATCAATATATTAAAAAAAAAATGCATCATTACCAAGTAGAATACATGCCAGGAATGCAAGATTGGCTTAACATTTGAAAATCAATTAATGTAATTCATCATATTAACAGACTAAAAAAGAAAAACCATATGATAATAAATGCAGAAAAACCATTTTAGAAAATCCAAAATCCATTTCTTATAAAACCTCTCTGCAAACTGGGAATAGAAAGGAAATGCCTCAATCTAATAAAGGTCGTTAAAACCACTACCACAACAAAAACAAACCTGCTGACATGCTTAGTGGTGAAAACAAAGTTTTCTTGCTAAATGGAAAAAGAACAAGGAGTTCTGCTTGCACCATTTATATTCTGCTTTGTATTGGGGGTTCTAGCCATTGCAGTAATGTTAAAAAAAAAAATTAAATCCCCAAATTGAAGAGAAACAAGTAAAATGTCTCTATTCACAAATGATGTGGCATATAGAAAATCATGAGGACTCTACACAAATGCTACAAAAACTGAAAAGAAAGTTAAGGAAAATTGCAGGATATAAGGTCAATATTAAAAATGAATTTCTGCATACTAACAGAAATTGAAATTTTTTAAATACTATATATAATAGCATCAAAATATATGAATTACCTAGGGATAAATTTGACAGAAGTTGTATAAGATCTGTGCAATGAAAATTACAAAACATTGCTGAGAGAAATTAAAGAAGATTTAAGTGGACATAAATACCCTGTTTGTGAATCGAAAGATGCAATGTTTAGAAGAAAACAGGATTCTGAGGAAGCAATTAACATGGTATGTACTAATTGCTCTTTATGATTATTAACTCCAAATAAATATCCCTGTGGCAACACAATGAAAACTGGAAAAACAAAACAAAAAAACAAAAGCATAGGAGAAAGCAAACTCAAGTTATCTTGAGTTTGGTAGAAGTTCCTTAAACAGACTAAAAAATTATGAACTAAAATAGATAAATAAATTTGACATCAAAATTATAAACTTACTTTTCAAAAGACACTTAAAAGGCAAGTCACAAACTGGAAGATGTTTGCAAAACATCTCTCAGAAAAAAATGTTTTCTACAACATACAAAAAACATACAACTCAACAATAAGGCAAAGAACCCAGTTTGACAATGGGCAAAATATTTAAATATATGCTTAAAGAAGGTGAATGGATAAAAAATAAGTTCATGAAAAGATACTATCACTCATTAGGGAAATGCAAATGAAATATCACTATAGAGTCTCTAAAATAACTAAAAATTAAAGGCTGTTGAGAAAATGGTGCAGTGGGAGCTCTCATTCCCTGATGGTGAGAAATCAAAATGATACTTTGGAAAAATAGTTTGGCAGTTTCTTCAAAGGTTAAATGGACACCTTGCATATATCTCAGCTGTTTCATTCCTAGGTATTTACTAGACGGGAATGAAAACATGTCCCCATGAAGACTTGCACATGAATGTTCATGTCAAGTTTATTCACAGTAGCCAATAACTGGAAACAACCCAGATGACCTTCAACTGTTGAGTGGATAAGCAATTGTTATGTATTCAAGAAATGGAATACTTCTCAGCAATAAATAAAAATGAGCTGTTGGTACAAAATGTTTGAGTCATAAAAATGTGCTTTGTGAAAGAAACTAGAAACGAGAGTACATACTGTACGATTTGAAAAGACTAGTCTTTGTAGTAATAGAAAGCAAACAAGTAGTCCGGGACTAGGTGCAGGAGGGTGTTGAGTAGCTGAGAAGGGACAAAAATGTAACTTATGTGGTTACACAAGCGATTACATGCCAACGCTTGTTAAACTGTACACTTATGATAATTCCCTTATATGTAAATGGCATTTTTAGCTATTTAATATTGATTTGGGGTGGCATAGAGTTCCAGAAGTTTACTTTTCTTTTTTATATGACTTTTTAATTTTTATTTTTTAAAGAAAAATTTCTTTTTTTCTG